GGCTCGGCTTGGTCGGCCGAGCAGGAAGGACGAGCGGAGCGCAGAGCCGGGCAGGAAGGACGAGTGGAGCGCAGAGCCGGGCAGGAAGGACGAGCGGAGCTTTGGGCCGGGCAGGAATGTCCAAGCCCGAAACTTAGCAAATTTATGCTGATGTCAGCCCCAGTGCTGGCGTGGGGTTATTCCCCATCAGAAGCCCCCCACTCTCCGGGTTCCGTGGCGTCTAGCAGCGGAGCGCGTGAGAGTAGAAAACCCTGTGGACGGTCAGCTTCGTGGGCCCACGCGTAGCTTGACGGATTGGCGGCGACGTTTGGAGTCCCCCACGAACGGTTGTGGCGCTTCGCTTCTCCCAAGTGGCGGCCCATCGTGACACATGTTCGGCCCATCACTATTCGGGCCCAATTTTAGTATAAATAACCCCCAAGGCTTTCTTCATTCTCACAAATTCTAGAGAGAGAAAATATTAGGGTTGTCGTTCTCTTGCCGTTCCGTGCCGCCGTTCGCTGTTCTCTGACCGTCTCTTCGGCGGCACACTCGAGGTCAGTCCCTCTGTTCTGCTCATTCCATGTATGTCGAGTCTTCCACTCTTCGTTCGTCCGAAGCCGAGCACGGGCTCGTGCTCGGCAGTCAGGGTTCCGTACCCCAGGGCGACCAAGCGGAGCAGCCAGGTTCCCCATCCATTGAGGAAATCGCGGCCGTAGAGGTGCCCGGGGAAACTGAGCCCCGCCTTCAGAAGCGCACATTGCTCGTGGACTCGCTCATCCGCGAGTGCAAGTGCGACTTGTCGAGTGACGAGTTCCTCAAAGCGGTGCGCTACGCCGGCCCCCTCGTGACCCTTCGTCGCCCTACCCCGGAGGAGTCGGTCTTCGACGCTCCTCCGGGCTACTTTGCCATCCATCTCAAGTCCCTTGAGAGCGGCTTCCGCTTCCCCCTCGAGTCTTTGGTCATCGACTTCTTCAAGTACTTTGACTTCCTCCCGTGCCAACTGGTGCCGAACTCGCACCGGTACTTAGCGGGGTTCTTGATCCGCTGCCGGGAGGTGGGCGTGCGGGCCGACCTTGAGCGCCTATTGACCCTGTTCCGAGTGGCGAAGTCTTCCGGGTCGGATGGGGGTTCTTTTGCCGCCCT